ACAGATTAAAGGTTAGACGAGATGGGTGGTACATTATAGAATCGTAAAATTCAGAAAAATGTATGTGTCATAAAAAGTTAAGTCATGATTTACAAAAGTATCGCAGAACCTTGAAATGTCACATACTCCTAATATCCAAATATTGCTCAAACATATAAATAATTTTCCTGTAGCAGTGTCTCACTGACGACACCACCACAGACTAGTTGGAGTTTGTTATCTTTTGCACAGTCGGCGGTGGTCTTCACGACGATACATCTCGCCGTGTTTGCAACGCAACTGATTGCCTGGTTATTTCCAATTATTTATGAGCAAATTATACATCGGACTTTTATCATTTAATTTTTCCGTTGTTACCGAGATCAGAAGATTCTTGATGATAGAAGGTCTTTGATTAATACTAAGGACATTACATTCACAACCCCCTACCTCCTACAGCCCCCAAACCCCAAGTCTGAATCCCTACAAAAAAATTTCCGAGAATGATGAGGAATCTCTAAATGATAAGTTTAAGCAAATTTTATTTCTTTTGTGTTTTTGCCCATAGCTCCGCCACCACTAGACCGATTTTCAAAAACTACAAAGCCTTTTCATCCTTGGCATGGTAGTAGCCTTGTGTGAAAATTTCATCAAAATTTAAGCCGTAGCTCTCAAGTTATATTCGGTTATAAAATCAGCGGACAGGCAGATAGAAATGAAATGAGTGACATATTTTTCGTGCTGTACATGTCATATAATATCCAAAAAAAGTATGCGTGGGCAGTAAAAAGAGACGATGGAAGTGGGACAGCGTCCGAGATTCGTCGAATTATTCCAATAATTGCCGAGTTGCTATGATTCGAGGAAGGCGGCTGGATCGCCCGGATATATCATGTAAAATATCAGCAGCTCAGATAAATTTGTATGCGGCAACTTGTGCTCACCCTTCTATATCTCTAGCCGCCTGACAATATAACAAAGCAGATATATTCGATGCATCCAAAGTAAACTGATTATTATCGTTAACATTTGTAGGCCGAGATGTAGATAACAAAAGTTTGTTTTGATACATAGAATACTAACTGTTTAAGTCCTGTTACTCAGTTCTCACTGGTTGAGCTAAACAGAAAAATAATTGTATATCGGGAATTATTACTTGACTATTTTTCACAATTTTTATGAGAAATTCCAACAGACAATTAACTTCGGCCGCTACTTTGTCATATAGTTTGGATTACTAAGTATCCGAATACATCCATCTCTCATAACAGCACGACCTTGCATTCTGGGTCAATTGTAGAGGGAGTGAAGATAATGCGGGGATGTAGTGCATCAGATGAAAGAAGGATGAGAGAATACGAATCATTAATGTTCATATTCATAGTAGAATATAATTTCAAACACTTCAAAGTTTGTGTCTAAAAATCGCTTATTTGGTATCGTTAAATTTGAAAGTTCTTTTAAAAATCTATCAAGCAGTGTGAAAACAGAGATTAAGATCGCTCAAACTTCGTTTTTTGACGTTTTGGAGAGGAGGCTATTAATTATTTTCAGAAAAAATTTGTAGGGGTTGAAATTTGGGAGTTGATGGTGTAGAGGGAGGTTGTAAATATTGCATTTCTAGTATCAGTCAAAGACGTTTTATTATTTAGTAGTCGCGTAGTATTACCGACCTGTTCATAATATTTACGTTTGTTATTCAAGCAAAACCAGCTACCTAGCAACATGCAATACCCTTTACCTCCGGTGGGCCCGATCCAAATTCAGCAACGTCAAGTGGTGCCCCAGTCGCGGTGTTATCGAGGTCATCGACGATGCGCGACCATGTAATGATACCAGAGCGTACGAATTTTGACTCAAAAATACAAAGTCCTTAATTTCAATTTTGTCAGATAAACAATATTTCACTGATATTTTCTTTATTCTACGGTCTTATGACAGGGTACAAGTATTTTCATAGAAATCGAATAATACAGATGTCAGAGAGCGCAAAAGTTGACTTAGATACTATACATACTGCATATTCAATACAAGTCCATTGCATAGTCAATCTACTTGACGCCATTTTTTCTAATGACCGCCCGTCGCGTAGTCTAACGCCGACTGTCAAAGAAGTGTCATCGGTTAGTCTCTCAACTACATCAATTTGCCATTTTAAAATCTCCTGACTTGAATGCCTCATATTTAGGGGAGACCGGGGCAAGTTGTCACAACTTTCAGTAATTATTTTTTTTCTGAAAGCGTTATATGCACATATTTGGTGCATAACTAATAGGGTTTATCCTTTGGGAACACTATGTAAAATCGATAAGGCTGTAAAATAATTCACAATATGAAATTAAAATGTTTCAAAATACAGAAACAATGTGACAACTTGCCCCTTGCTGAGGCTGGATGTCACATTGCTTGGGGTTGGTTGTCACGTGTATTTTAGATGATTCATAAATTATGATATAATACTTTTAAACATATGTATTATTACAATAAATGCTTATTAAACACCAAATCCTTATGAGAAAAAAGTAGAAGAGTTTTTTTACAATTAGTCACTATCGCAGTTATGACATATGTAAAGTTTGCGTCCATCAGTGCACGCATCATGAGAACAACCATTACACGATGAGCATTTCACCCATTCTTCATTTGGCGCGCTGTTAGAAAATGGTTTAAGACAAATCAAGCTAAAACATTCTTCTCCATCAGTTTCATTATCTGAACAGGACTTGCGTTTTTCATTTTTTTTAGATTTCTTCAGTTTTTTTTCTGAATCAAAAACGTCTCTTTTCACTGTTTCCCTGTTCCTCTTTTTCTTGTTCCAGCTTTTATTTTTCTCTTACTCTAATCCATCTTTTACTGGAGTGTTAGTGAGTATTGCACTCCTTCGTTTACGACGGGAAACTCGATTCATTTTTCTTGCCGATGCCTTTGGATAAGGTCTTAAACTTTCTGGAAGTACTATATTTCCCGTATGCAGCCTTACTAAACTACTACAGCAGGGATCATCAAAACTAGTTTGATTAGCTGTTTTGCTCTCTCGTATATTATCTGTTGCTTCCTGCGTGTTAATATTTATCAGACTTACGGTTTCATCTTCGTTCAAGATACCCGGATCTGGCCTATCAGTGACAGCACTCGCAAGAAAGTCATCATTCGTGAAAATGTCTCTGTTGTAAGGAAACACACCCGACACCCAAAATCCAGGCTGTATATTTTTGGGAGTAAATGCGAGGGGGTATGCAATAGAGACCACTGAAGGCATGTCGTATATAGTCATGGTCTTACCGGGAGTATTTAAAACCCAAGCATCGCAGGAAGTATTTACATATGTCTTAAAAGGGCCGAAAACGGCGCGGTCAAGAGGTTGAAGTTTATGTGAACAGTGAGGCTAAAAAGAGAGCATGACAATACCATTTGATTTGACAGAATTCATTCCTTCTATACTCGGATGTGATCCATGGTTATCTAGTAAAAGCAGGCACGGTCTTTCGACAATACTTTTCACATGACGGTGAAAAAATCTAAGAAACTCCCAGAAATGTGACTATTTCATCCAACCTGATGGGTTTGCAGAACCTTGTGAGCCAGGAGGAGCCGAATTCAAAAAATGTAGTTTGAAATGTACCCGTGGAAAAATTAAAAAAAGAGGTATGGAATTTCCAAGAGCTGATACTGCACTTGCTAAAGTAACAAGAGTTCCTCTTTCTGATGAAACTATCGAACCAACCTGTTTGAATCCTCTTCTGGCAACAACGCGGTCGGGTCTTTGGACAGTTGCAATCCCAATTTCGTCCATGTTCCAGATTTCATGAGGCTCAAATTTATGTTTTTCCATAACTGAAGCTAAATTATCGAAAAATGCGTTGACGTTCGTTTTATTAAAACTACTGGCTCTTGCTAAACTGGTTGCTTCCGGTTTGCGAATAGACAGTACAGGATGACGTTTTAGAAACGCACTAAACCAGTCAAGACCAGCTATTTTATGGAGCTTCCAATTTTCCGGCATTTTCAAGGAATTAGCATTAGCAAATTCATATGACAGTCCACATACTTTCTTGGGTGATAATCCAAAATAAATATCAGATGCTTTGAGTACATATTCCACTAGATGATTTTCAAGTTCAGGCTCAAATACTAAATGATTTTTGATGTAGCCAACTGAAATTGACGGCGCAACAACTCGATCATCAAATAATTCAGACTCTGGAATTTTCTTACAGTATCTTGCTAAAGTACGGTAATTTACATTGAAGTCAGCTGCTGCTTTTCTTATTGAGGATCCTAATCTCACTAATTTAGCTGCTCTTAAAAGTACGTCAGGCGGCGCTTTGCCCTTCTCAGTCTTCCTTTTGAAATTTCGAACCATGCTTATGTAACCTGAAAATATTAAAAAAATACATTATATACATATACCTACGTAGAATGATGTGCAAAGCTAATCGTCTAGTGTGGGGGTTGGTTGTCCATGTGACAAGAGGCCCCGCTAATTTGAGACAATCTGCCCCACTAGATAATCAATTTTTAAGGTTAGATAGCGTCACTAAATTAACAAATTCAAAGTCAATACTTACGTTAAGTCGTATTCGGATTATTGAAGAGCAAAATAAATTTAACAGTTCTTTTTATTACCAAATGTAGTCTTGAAAATCAAATTATGTGGCAAACCAAAAATTTACTCAGGTCAGGCGATTTGTTTATTTTTGTGTGTGCGACCTTAATCTACCAACAACTTTCGTACTGAATAGAAGTGTTCTGCGTGGACTCGGAAACGATGTGTAGCGCGCCAGGCAACTACATCTTGCGAAGCTGCTGAGATTTAACAATTGTGACAACGAACCCATGTGACAACCAGCCCCGGTCTCCCCTACCCTGTCTCTTCATTTCTAATTAATACAAATCTAAACAATCGAACTGATAATAATATTGCATACATAATTCCTCTTTATAATAAATTGTAATTTGATGCATAATGGAATTGTGTCAATTTGCGATAAAAAAAACATGAAAATTCACTTATTTTGCATGCATATTCTCTTGAATGATTGCTCGAAGGAATAGCGCATAGCAAATTATAGGCTTATTTTTCGTTCTAAAAATATATTAACATTGTTATAGAACAAGGTTGGATGATTCAAATCATTTTTGATCGACATGCAACTGTCTTTGATGGTGTTTAGTGAACGTCTGATTTCCAATCAGTTGCTTTGTGATAAGAGATCAATTCGTGGTGTTAGCATGATTATCTCTGTTCAAGTTGTGATTGTGTTGTCTATGACTGTAAGTACCTTTTACTTCGCACGTTCACTGGCGAGGAAGTATTGAAATCGCGAAAAATTTCGAAAATGAGATATAATGTTTTTTGGAAGTTACGTAACATGTACATCACGAAAAACCATGTCCATTATTCCCATCTGCCTGTCTGGCACATAATAGGGTCATCACAGTGCGGTTATTTTACGTTTAAAATGGATTTAATGATGTGTTCTAAGCACCCCAACACGCTAGCTTCTTTCATGATAACATGGACATAACTATTAAAAAAATCAAAATCTTGGAATATCGTAGCAGTCGCTTTTTCATACACCACAAAGTATGTTTCAGCATCTTTTTTAATTTTCCTCTCAGTAAAAAAAATTCTATAAAACACCATGGATAATCCACATATCTTGGAATAGGTGATGATTTTGCAAACATAAATCGCTCAATTATCATCAAATCAAAATCTATTTAAAATCACGTAAAAACGAAAAACTTATAATTTCGTTCCACATAACATGATATCTGCAATCGCCAGTCACCAAAGCGCCCAGAATAAATCCGTCCGTGTACATATACTGCAAAACTGGTCAAAAATTCACAATCAAGATTACAAAACATAATCGAAAAGCCGTAATAAATAATCGTTAAATTACTTCGAAAACTTTTTACTTTCCCAGATTTTCTAGTTTGGAAGATTTTTTGAGCGCCGAACCTATTAATATGTTAAGATTGTCAACGATCCGCTATGTGAACGATATGGCTATGAGGATTCCCCGTCTGGATTTTTCTCAAGAACCTTAAAATACTTGTTTCAGGCTCACTGCGTCATCGGGAAAGCCTTAGAACTCTCTAATGTGTCTACTAATATTTCCAACCCTATGACAGAAGCAAATAATCAGGGGTAAGTTCTAAAAAATCTATTTACATTATTTCAAAGTTCGCTGAGAAGCTGTAGAGAACTCAAGCGTTCCAACTCTGAGTCACATTATCGTTTAATGAACCTTCATCAATCGGCAAAATATCTTTGAGCGCTGAGAATTTCTTGATGTGCGATCTGCTTAACTTTAGTTTTCCATTTCCAGTGACAACAAGGTGTTCTCGATGTTCAAACCTGCAGAAGAATCGATCTTTAAGCTGGTCCACATGTTTTTCAATACAACCTACGTAACCTCAAGGGCGGCTGTGGATTCTATCAAGGAGCACAGTCAGATACGGAGAAAATTGGAAGATAATCTAGAAGGCTTTGTCGAGAACCTTCCATCTTTGCCAGTACCTTTGCTAGATAATCTCGCAGATATAAGGAAAAATAAGAGTCTATTTAACCTCAATAACTAAGTATCTCGTAAGGATAACTTAGAATAGTTGAGTGGTATCGAGAAAAAGGCACTATACTTTTTTATAGTTTTATTATAAAATGTTTAAAATAATAAATACATAACATAATGAAATAAATATGATATACAAATTGTCGTCACAAGCATTATGCTGTTCTATCGATTCTCACATTTCTAAAGATAAAAACGAGCATCAAAGGAAATCATACATGTGACTGTCCATGCTAAAATTATATCAGAATATCACAAAAAATCGAGAGCCCATCTTAGCTTGGCCAGAAGACTTTACTTGGTACCTCATCATATTTTCCTCCACGTTTGGCGACATGCTCATCTGGTTGAGTTGCATCCGATTGGTTGATCTGGTCACTTCTTGGTACGAACTCCTTTGGAGTTGGTTCTGTAGCAGCTAGCTTGGCAGCGTCTGTTTTATCTCGCTTAAGCTCAGCTTCACGTTTGGTAACATGTTTGTCTAACTGAGGTGCATCAGATTGGTTGACCTTGTCACTTCCTGGTACAAACTTCTTTGGTGTTGGTTCTGTAGCAGCTAGCTTGGCAACTTCTGTTTCATCTCTCTTAAGCTCAGCTTCACGTTTAGCAACATGTTTGTCCAACTGAGGTGCATCAGATTGGTTGATCTTGTCACTTCCTGGTACAAACTTCTTTGGTGTTGGTTCTGTAGCAGCTAGCTCGGCAACTTCTGTTTCATCTCTCTTAAGCTCAGCTTCACGTTTGGCAACATTTTTGTCCAATTGAGGTGCATCAGACTGATTGATCTTGTCATTTCCTGGTACAAACTTCTTTGGAGTCGGTTCTGTAGCAGCTAGCTTGGCAACTTCTGTTTCATCTCTCCTAAGCTCAGCTTCACGTTTGGTAACATGTTTGTCCAATTGAGGTGCATCAGACTGATTGATCTTGTCACTTCCTGGTACAAACTTCTTTGGTGTTGGTTCTGTAGCAGCTAGCTTGGCAACTTCTGTTTCATCTGTCTTAAGCTCAGCTTCACGTTTGGCAACATGTTTGTCCAACTGAGGTGCATCAGATTGGTTGATCTTGTCACTTCCTGGTACAAACTTCTTTGGTGTTGGTTCTGTAGCAGCTAGCTCGGCAACTTCTGTTTCATCTCTCTTAAGCTCAGCTTTACGTTTGGCAACATGTTTGTCCAACTGAGGTGCATCAGATTGGTTGATCTTGTCACTTCCTGGTACAAAATTCTTTGGAGTTGGTTCTGTAGCAGCTAGCTTGGCAACTTCTGTTTCATCTCTCTTAAGCTCAGCTTCACGTTTAGCAACATGTTTGTCCAACTGAGGTGCATCAGATTGGTTGATCTTGTCACTTCCTGGTACAAACTTCTTTGGTGTTGGTTCTGTAGCAGCTAGCTCGGCAACTTCTGTTTCATCTCTCTTAAGCTCAGCTTCACGTTTGGCAACATTTTTGTCCAATTGAGGTGCATCAGACTGATTGATCTTGTCACTTCCTGGTACAAACTTCTTTGGAGTCGGTTCTGTAGCAGCTAGCTTGGCAACTTCTGTTTCATCTCTCTTAAGCTCAGCTTCACGTTTGGCAACATGTTTGTCCAATTGAGGTGCATCAGATCGGTTGATCTTGACACTTCCTGGTACAAACTTATTTGGTGTTGGTTCTGTAGCAGCTAGCCTGGCAACTTCTGTTTCATCTCTATTAAGCTCAGCTTCACGTTTGGTAACATGTTTGTCCAATTGAGGTGCATCAGACTGGTTGATCTTGTCACTTCCTGATACAAACTTCTTTGGAGTCGGTTCTGTAGCAGCTAGCTTGGCAACTTCTGTTTCATCTCGCTTAAGCTCAGCTTCACGTTTGGTAACATGTTTGTCCAATTGAGGTGCATCAGACTGATTGATCTTGTCACTTCCTGGCACAAACTTATTTGGAGTTGGTTCTGTAGCAGCTAGCTCTGCAACTTCGGCTTTATCTCTTTTAGATCCATCTTCACGTTTGTCAGCATGTTTGTCTAGCTGAGGTGCATCAGATCGGTTGATCTTGTCACTTCCTGATACAAACTTCTTTAGAGTTGGATCTGTAGCAGCTAATTTGACAACTTCTGCTGTATCTCTCTTCAGATGAGCTTCGCGCTTGGCAGCATGTTCATCCAGCTGAGGTGCGTCGGACTTATTGATTTTAGCGCTTACTGGTGCAAACTTACTTGGAGTTGGTTCTGTAGCAGCTAGCTTGGCAATTTCTGCTGTATTTCTCTCAAATCCATCTTCACGTTTGGTAAGATGCTTGTCCAGCTGAGGTGTATCAGATTGGTTGATCTCGTCACTTCCTTTAACAAACTTTTTAGGAGTTGGTTCTGTAGCGGCTAGCAGAGCAACTTCCACCTCATCTCTTTTATGCTGCACTTCTTTTGAAGATCCTTCTTCTAGTTTGGTGATAGTATCGTCCAATTCAGGTGCATCAGATTCAGGAGTCAACTTATTCGCAGTCACTTTGGACGGTTTCGCTTTATTCCTTTTGTGAAAAGTTCTTCTAACAGGCTTATCGTCACGTTTGTTCGAGTGCTTCTCTAGCTGAGGCGCATCTGACTGGTTAATTTGGTCGCTTCCAGGTACAAGCTCCTTCGGCGTTGGTTCTGTGGCAGTTAGCTGGGCAACCTCTGCTTTATCTCGTTTAGATCCATCTTCACGGTTTTCAAGGTACTTGTCCAGCTGCGGTGTATCAGATTGGTTGATCTGGTCACTTCCTGGTACAATTTTTTCAGGAGTTGGCTCTGTAGCAGCTAGCGTAGCAATTTCTGCTTCATCCCTCTTCTCCTCTATTCCTTTTGGGTCTCCTTCTCCATGCTTGGTGAGAGCATTGTCCAATTGAGGTGCATCAGATTCAGGAGTCAACTTATTTGCAGCTACTTTGGACGGTTTCCCTTTATTCCTTTTGTAACAAGCTCTTCTAACAGGTTTATCGTCACGTTTGGCCAGATGCTTGACTAGTTCAGGTGTATCAGATTGGATAATTTGGTCGCTTCCAGGTACAAACTTCTTGGGAGTTGGTTCGGTAGCACCTAGCTTGGCAGCATCTGTCTTATCTCTTTTTTGGTCAGTTTCACGCTTAACAATATTTTTTTCTAATTGTTTCGTCTCTTCAGGCTTACCATCGTTTTCTTTCATATCTTCCGTGTTTTTCAGCACTTGCTCAACAATTTCTTTTTGTATCTTATCTAGTTCGTTACCCATATATTTAATTTTAACACCTTCTATCTCTTTAGTGTGCAGCATCGCTTTTGCCTTCGGGTGCTTCAAAGTATCCATTGAAGACAGTACATTCTGCTCATTTTCATTCGTTATCTTATGCAGCATATCCTCGTCAGGTTGAAACCTCTTACCAAATGGTATGCTAGGGTCTCTAAAACAATCTCCGCAAAAGCAGGGCTTACAAGAACAAAGACCAGCATCCTCAGAGCTCACAAACTTCAAATCTGAGGATTCTCCATTTATTGGATAAGAGACTAGCAGCTTTCTCTCACAGTTACAACCTCGACATCTGTAAGGTACCAGAGAGGCATTTAACCATTTCTGCATATCTGGATCATAGTTTTCATGTTCTTCCTGTCCATTTCGTAATTGCAACAATAACGCACCGATTTTCTTCAATGCCTCGTCGTAAATACTGTTAGTGGCGTTAGTTAATTCTTCTAGTTGTTTACTGGAAAGGTCTTTAGTCTTAACCAGCCAAGCCTTCAGTAGTTTTGGGTGAGTTTTGATGAAAATATCATTTGAAAGCAGTTGAATATCTGTGTATTGAGGTTGTGCGTTTTCAGTGACAGTCCGATCTTCTCTAATGGGATAGACTTTCTGTACTATAACATCTGGAATTCCACCTAGGGCTGTTCTCTCTACTTTACAAGGATCTGTGCACATTATTTCGTGTGGTATTGTAGCTTTTTTGCCAACGTGCAAGACATTGACATCCTTAGAGTTTGAATTTGCCATTTGTCCAACGTATCTGTCTGGTTCTGGAGCTTTGCGTTTCTTTGGGAAATATTGTCCTGATTTTGGAGAGGGATATTTGGTGAAGATTTGATCTGAAACAAAATAATGAATGAATGAATGAATAATGAATAACGTCTGGGACAAACGTCTTGAGAAAAGTTTCGCCTGAAATATCTGACAGATTTTTATGTTTGATCTGGTCACCATGAGGCAGGTAGGTAGGTCATCGTTTTGAGGTCTCGTATAAAACAGTGTAAAGATCTTTCTCCAGAAATGACATATATTTTCGAAAAAGAAGGAAGTATGCCAAACTCAGGCATAACTCGAAAGAATACTACGTATATTATAAACTGCTTAACTGCTTATCAGAACGACGATATAACCATATATATATGAGAAGTCATCATTGCCAAAGCCAACGACTAGTTGGGTACAAAATACAATTACTTGTTAATTGGGAAAATTGGCAAAACTTTTAGGCTAAAGTTGACTCTTTTGACGATAAAATCAAGCTTTCGGTATTCTCTATGGAGCCATCATCAGGATTCTGAAAACACAATTGTGATGCTAGCAAAGAAGACAGATTTAAAATGTCAGACAACTTACTCGTCGGTGAGGTTGCAGCCACAAGGTGTTTCAGAAAGAACGTAGAGAAGATCGAACATGTCTTCAGTATAAAAACAAAAGGACGGGGACATTGGGCTTGTTAAAAAACGACAGATACTTTCGTTAAAAGTTAAGAAAAATAAAAATGTATATCAATAAACCCTAACAAGCTAAAAATACTGCACGTGGGGAGACATTTTGTTGAAACAATCGGAATGCAGTCCCTAACCTTCTACTACCGCTACACGTGGAGAGGGCTAAAGGCACGGAACGGTAAAGCGTCGACAGAAGACAAGTGATTGACGCGACGGAACGTGGAAATGTGCACCTCCCTGTCCAACTTTGGGTATGAAGTATATGAGGGACGCTCAGTAAATCTCCACTAAAATACTGGAATAACTTGTTTTGGAACAGAGTGTGTGGTTCATCTGAGTGCAAGAATTTGTGATATTGATACAACCTTAAAAAGATGGGTTATGTGAGTGAGAAAATGTATTCTAATTTTGTGAAGATGTTGGAACAATTTGGACATGTAGCCGTTCTAGCTTTTCACAATTCAGCAGGTAGGAATAAATGACACTGAGCTGCTTAACATCAGCCTTTTTATTCATGCAATGATCTGTCATGAAAATGTGGGACATTTCAAAAAATAGACGTTTTGAGAATCTTTTTTTTTATTGATTTAAATTTTTATTTTTCTCAACTTTTAACGAAGGTATCTGTCGTTTTTTAACAAGCCCAATGTCCCCGTCCTTTTGTTTTTATACTGAAGACAAGTTCGATCTTCTCTACGTTGTTTCTGAAACACCTTGTGGCTGCAACCTCACCGACGAGTAAGTTGTCTGACATTTTAAATCTGTCTTCTTTGCTAGCATCACAATTGTGTTTTCAGAATCCTGATGATGGCTCCATAGAGAATGCCGAAAGCTTGATTTTATCGTCAAAAGAGTCAACTTTAGCCTAAAAGTTTTGCCAATTTTCCCAATTAACAAGTAATTGTATATATATATATATAACCTCGATTCGTGCCATTAGGTGAGGAGAGATCAGCACGGGTATTATGTAAAAAACCTATAAAACGTCAAAAAAAGCCTATAAAATGTCATCTTGTAGACTAGGTAGTTTTTAGGGTGCAAACAGTCATTCCACGTTTGCTCACTAGGATCATTGTACACGTCTATCTATGGAGGAATAGTGAATGTTGATTGCGTATGTTTTGTGAAGCCGAGTAGTCTATAGTTTTCATTTCTGAGAAGAAAGTTGGTTGAATAGCAAGATCGCATTTGGAATATTGTGTGTATTGGTCTGCATATTTAGAAAATCAGTGATATTTGCTGTGTGAGAAAATTATTACTGAATATGCTGCCAATGAAGTATATCTATTAGCTGTGCCCGACGGGTTGTATATGTGTTGTCGTTGATTGAATGAATGAATTTTGAAATTAGATTCATTCCGGCCACCATAAGGAGCCAGTGCATAGGCCGCTTAAGCGGGCCCTTATGCACCTCTACAATCCTTAGATCACAAGCCTCGCCCTTTTAGCGAAGTTAAGAATCGCCTTGAGTCCAAGCTCCTTGACGTCCTGAGGGTCCAAAGTAATGGACCCCAGTATAGTCTGCCTATAGTAGCTCAGAGCTTCACAGCGACACAAAACGTGCGCAGAGGTCTCTTCCTCTACTCCGCAGCGTTCACACAAGGGATCCTCAGCCACCCCCATCACGTGCAGATGACGCCTTAACGTCTTATGGCCAGACAACAGTCCCACCAGCAACCTTAGGTTGGCTCTATCCAGAGATAGGCAGAAGGGTCCATCCTTAGCACTGGGCCTTTCAATGAGTTCTCGTGCCTGGCGGAGATGTCTGGAGATACTTCTCCATTTCTGAGAGTGTTGTCTTGCAACCCACGTCTCCATTTTCCTCCTAGCTTTATGCGCGGTCACTCCTAGAGCTGGCTCAGTACCAATGAGCTTGCTGGCTGATCCTATCTTAGCCAGAGTGTCCGCCGACTCATTGCCCCTTATCCCAGCGTGCCCCGGTACCCACATTAACGATACCGGATGCCTCGCTGCGAGGCAGTCCAGAGACCTGCCCGCTCACCATGGAGAGTCCCCGGCTACCAGCGTCCCACTCCTCCCTCGTTGGATACTCCACAATAAATTTGCAGTTGAGGCGATATTTAGGGGTAATACGATCACGGGGCCCTCCCTTTGTAATTTGACTAAGATGGCAGTATGCCCCTTGACAGGATTCAAGAAAGCCCAGCTGCCCTGACTCCACAGTCGATGAGCGACTACTCTCGCTTCACCGCGGATCACCAGATCCAGCGGTGGAAGATCCAACAGAGGTTCCATTGCACTCAATGGCGTTGTTCGCACTGCGCTTGTAATACTAATACAGGCAAAATGCTGAATTATATTGAGTTTGACCTTAGAGTGTTGTCCTTTCTGAAGACAGGTTATGTTCAAAGTTATAAATTGCGATTTTTTACGTTTTTTTTTGTGTTTTGCGTATGTAATTTCCAGAATGGATATGCACAAGTGGACGCCCAACTAATTTCTAGCTTTCAGTCTCAAGTAAGTGTATTTGAGACAAGAATCCAATGGAACTAATATTATTAGCATCTATGCATTGCCGCTACCTCCAGTAATGCCATCTCTGAAGCAGATTTTACATCACATCAGAGTCAAACATTGATAAACAAAGTATCATGATCCTTAGGCAACACGTACAATTACAAAACGGGTTCAGAACGTGTCCATCAGCTAGTGCTAAGTTAACATCTTGTAGAAAAACCTACATAATGTCATAAAAAAACAAAAAACTGTCAAAAAAATCGACATAATGTCACTTTTCAAGATACCACTAGTATCAAGATTTCAATGAGATTTCATTATTTCGTTAACCAATCCTGATGACACATATTTTCTAAAATCTTATCACCCCTACGCCATTTGGATTTACGTCGTCTGACAAACTATGTAGGACTTATCTTAGATCCCGGTGGGATATCCATGCTGGTTTGGAAGAAAATGGAGTAGAAGACTTACCATCATAAACCTTGGCCTGCTTGTATTGAATGGGCTCTTCCTGAACCTCCTGGTAACCCGGATAGAAAATTGGGAACGCTCCCCCTGGATGAGAAATGTACGGATGGAAGAACCGTTCCACACTGGGAAGAGGTACGATGCTATGTGGTGGAGGGCCGTAGTAGTAATGCTTATCATCACATCGGTGATGATCTCCAAATCTAAGAGTTATCTTTGCATTTGCATTAGCTGTGCATTTCGCCTTCTGTTCTGGTTTCTCGCTGGTGCATTGTTTGACATCTTTTGTTTCACCTTTTGGAGCTTCGGAGCCGAGGTCTTCAGCAAAGTTATTTCTCTCAACGAGTTCGAAATGGTCAAAGTTCACTTTCGAGTAATCTTTTGGTGTGCGGAAGACTTTTTCCAGGTTTAGATTTGTGCCATCATGTTTTGCACTGGCCGCCTGCAGAAGAAATAAGACGTTAGGTAAAGCAGTTCAGTCGTTATTACGTAGCAATGCCGTCTTTATTTAGAATAACATAATGAAATTGTTTTGAGGGAAGTTAACAATAAAATAAACACGTTTGAAGATGATAAGTGTAAATGAAATTCGAAAAGGTTTGAGTTTGCAGAGAGTAAAATTTTCCAAACTTACCGCTATGAACCCAACCACCCAACATAGTATGAAACAATGTGCACACCACATTGCACTGGGCTAAACTAAATCCATCAACAGCCAAGACGTTTTATAAGTATGTATTATTTGCGACTAGAATCACGTCTTCTTTTGTTATTGTTTTTGGATGATTCTACGTGGACTATTCGAAACAGTAATATCGATAGACATTTTCTACCTACGCTTGTATCGATTGAGATATTTTCATCATCTTTTTATAAAGATCCATCTCCCTTACTTATTTATTGAAAGAGTAAAGTTAGCAAGCTGAATTTCGAGTTAATGAAATTGGTGTATGAGTGCTATATTTCAAAGTGAACGTAACAGTTGTAAATTTTAGGATGGTGGCTGAGCGTAATCTTGCATTATTTTTTAATCGAATGAGGGATAGTGTGATAGCTTATTTTGAAGGTCCTTATGAGTAAAGGAGTCTTCACTCAAGAACGCAGAATTGAAGGCTTCATTTGTCACAATATCTTGTTAAATCAAATTAATTATACACACACTCCACTTTGTACTTCACAATAAATACATTTCTACTAAGTTATCCTGGAATTCTGCCTTCACATATTCGAGAATGGAAATTTTCATTACCTTTATTACCAAGCAAATATGATGGATTTAAAAATACTAGAGCTATTTCTTTAGTTGTTTCATTCGGATCTTATAATTAGTCAAAAATGGCATGTAGGAAAATATGCTTTTTATTGAAAAATCTTATGAATTTTCAGACTTTGACTCATGATATTTGCCATCACAAAGTTCTACAATATGTCGAAATATAGAGAAAGCTAATAAAAGTAAAACGATCTATCAATAGATAGCGGAAATGCATCGCAACCAATAAATTGTTCAGTAGCAGATGTGAACGGACTACTGAATGAGCGAAAAACAAATAATTTTTAAGGTCATTGCCAATAACGTTTAATGACTCCGCAATATTAAGTTCATTAGCTTATGGATCGCATACCTATTAGAGAAAAATTATTTAGAATGTATTTTGAATGCAAGTGCGTTGTTGCACATCTTATACTACTGCTAGATAATCATATTCCAATAGCGGGTTATTTCGATTATACAGGGTGGCGCATCGAAAACGAAACAGACGCATTTACTGGCAGCTTAGTTTTTTTTTTGGAAAAACGCTCAAACCCGTCGATTTTGTTTTCGAGGGGGACACAAGTTTGGCAAAAAATCACGTTAACACGTGCAGCTCCCTGGGCGGGGTTGACACCAACCCTAAAATCTTAAATGGAAAGGGGAGTCGAGTGATACCTTATTTTAAAGGTCTTTCAATTCCCTTTATAATGATATAAAATTAATGTACCTCAGTTCAGTAGTTTTGAAGATTTATTGATTTAAAGCTTAAAGTAGACTAATAGGTACATCGGATTAGTTTGTACTACTTTCAGAAGAAATTTGACTAAAAGAATTTACTTAATAAGTAAATGCTTTTCTTCACTACTTCACTACTTTCTTGATGAGAAATGTTTGATGTTATTGTCATATCATGTCAAAAAAATATGGCAGCAAGTAGGTTGACTCTGCGGATATCAAAAGTATTTATATCGCTGATTTCAAAAACCACATTTCCAACAAGCTTTTTTTACCGAGAACGCTTCAATAAAGATAAATGCGTATACACTCCACAAATTAAAATATGTGGTTTGTTAATAAGTCAATATGTACGTGTAATTCTCAATAATAGGTGACAATATACAGGGTGGCGCATTGAAAACGAAACAGACGCATTTACTGGCTGCTCAGTTTTTTTTTGGAAAAACGCTCAGACCCGTCGATTTTGTTTTCGAGGGGGACACAAGTTTGGTAAAAAATCACGTTAGCACGTGCAGCCCCCTAAGCTGGGATAGCACCAACCCTAAAATCTTAAATGGAAAGGGGGGTCGAGTGATACCTGATTTTAAAGGTCTTTCGATTCCCTTTATAATGATGTAAAATACATGAGCTTCAGTTCAGTAGTTTTGAAGATTTATTGATTTAAATCTTAAAGTAGACTTTAATAGGTACATCAGATTAGTTTGTACTACTTTCAGAAGAAATTTGACTAAAAGAATTTACTTAATAAGTAAATGCTTTTCTTCACTACGCCCATGGTTTGTTTATCATTTTGTTGTTGAAAATAGCTATTGGAGCGTTTTTTGTGGCAAAAAAGTTATTTCTTGAAGAAAGATAAGGAAATATCTCGTACTTATTTTAAATAGGAATTTAGTACATAGTTTGCGATTGATTTGACCAAACTTTGTTGCTAAAATAACTTGTAACGCTTTATTACATAAATTAACCATGGTATATTCCACAGCAGGAAGAGTTGAAATTATCGAATTATTTTTCGGAAATAATCAGTGCGCTAATAGAACAGCAGAAATATTTAATGAGCGACATGAGAACAGTAACGGGCATCGAAAATATGTTCTAGAACTTGTAGCTAAATTTCGGGAAATTGGATCGGTCGCCAATAAAAAACGCAACATTGAAAATCCCATAAGGAGCGAAGCAATATAGGTGGGGGATTTAGGGCAAGTTTATTTAGATCCTACGTTAAGTACCCGCAAATTGGACACTGTGTGTGGTGTTAGCCGAGGTACTGTCCAACGGATTCTAAAGGCCCATAGTTTTCATCCGTATAGAATTCACCTGGTACAAGAACTTAATGAAGACGATTTTAATCGGCGATTACAATTTTGTGAAGATATGAGTGAACGAATTATAAACGATGAACATTTTCTATTCAACACTTGCTTTTCCGACGAATGTTCCTTTTTCTTAAATGGCGTAGCAATTGGTCATAACTGCCGATATTGGTCCGATTCTAATCCCAGAATTTATCATGAGGTTCATACACAGCAGCCACAAAAATTAAATGTTTGGGCTGGTATTTTTGGCGATCATTTAGTTGGTCCTTTTTTCTTACCTGGAAATTTGACCGGTGAAATGTATTTGAAATTACTGGAAGACGTCATAGATCCTGCATAAGCAGCCATAATTGAAAATCAGAATGATCGGCGGTACATTGCGAAAATCTTTGTTATTGCATGGAAAGTCATGGTGGCCATTTTTAACATTTACTTGCCTAACGGGTCAGCTCATTCTTCATTTTTCAATGCTGCCAAATATATTGATCTCCACTAATGATGATGTATTACTTTTATTTAAGCTTTAAATCAATAAATCTTCTAAACTACTGAACTGAAGTACATTAATTTTATATCATTATAAAGGGAATTGCAAGACCTTTAAAATAAGGTATCACTCGACCCCGCTTTCCATTTAAGATTTTGGGGGTGGTGTCATCCCCGCTTAGGGGGCTGCACGTGCTAACGTGATTGTTTGCCAAACTTGCGTCCCCTTCGAAGCTGCCAGTAAATGCGTCTGTTTCGTTTTCGATGCGCCACCCTGTATATACAAATTAATGTCGAATATGAAATCTACGCACCCAATTTAACAAGTAAACCAGTTTTCATCTACACTACAGATATACAAAGGATTTTGAAACATTTCCGATAGGAAATAAAGGGTCGGCCATTTGAAGTTTGAAATTTGTATCGACCATAAAAAAGAAACTGATGATTATTTATACAAATTTCTGATCTTATTCGACAAGTTTATCGCTGGCAATTAAGAACGATACAATTATTTTCAAACAACTGTCACGTCTGACTCCAAGGTTTACCCTATTTCACAAGTATCCATCACGCTTTGACGTCTACTGAGGTGAACAGCTGATCAGCAAGTGACATTTTTGTGTCAGTCTGCAACGTCGGCTATAATGAATCAGGTGTAAATCTAGCAAACATTTGTTTGTAGCGTTTTGTTTTTTATATGCAAATGAACTAGCTAGCTTTTAGCAAGTACAAAATGAATCTATAGCGTACAACAAACCAAAGCAAAATACGGTTCGATCTACCTGGCATTGACGGATCCGTCAGAATTATGTGTCCTTTGCCAATATGGGGAATTTTGAAATGGCTGTCATTCTACCGTGATGGATACTCGTGAAATATGGTATACCTCTCATCCATTTAACCTAATTTTCGAGTATGTTTTCAATTGTTTGGGCTTGAATCTCTTGAATGTCAACTTCGAAGTCGTGTATCAGGGCCCCAATTTCCTCTGTATGGCTAGCATAACATTTATCCAGGAACGGCTTGCGATTTTTGTACGGCCTGCCCCCTCACACAAAAAAAAACATGTAATCAATTTTTTTTTATAAAAACAATAAAATTACATTTATTCAGATACAACCAAAAGCTAAAAACGTATACTGTAGCTTAATCCGCATACTTTTAGCTATCGCATATTCTTTGATCACGTTATCTAGATTTATGGTGTATGAATATGGTATGGTTAATCATTCTTATGATATAGTTGTCCGTAAAATTTTTAATTATAATTGTGTTCAAGCGTGTAGCGTCCCATTTAAAAAATGTCAAATACACGAGTAGGTATGTATATATTTTTGTAAGGCATGTCAAATGGCTACTTCAAATTTCAAACACCAGATGGCTCACCGTCTAATATAATCCTTTTTCCACTTTCGTCTTCCGTTGTTAGTAGCGACTATAACTACGTCCATCTAAGTGCTTTGGTGCTGTGATTACAAATATATTAGTGAAACAATTGTGAAATTGGTTCTACTATAGTCTAGTGCCAAAACGGGAGAGAGTAGCAAAGCACATCCTGCGCGGCTGCTTTGCTGTAGAGCATAAACAGCTTGACTTGATGGAGCCAATAATATTACACTTAGTGCAAAAAATAAAACAAATACCTAGCTTTCATTCCATTTTTATTACTGCAACACCAAAACACACATGACACAATACATTGTTCTTACATAAAATTCAAGTTGTCTTTCCTAGTATTTCCGATAGATGTGTGCTTTCTCCTTTAATACCTAAAAACAGAAATATTCGCTACAATCACACATTCTATATTTTTGGAAAAACTAGAAAAGACAATTGAATCCAAAATCACGTTGAATAATCTGCAATAATATATTTATACTGTTTCTCAGATACAAATCGTACTGCTTATAAAAACAATTGTCTTTTCTGTTTTGCCTAAGAAGTGTACAATGTGTTAAAATATCACTCAATCAAGACACAATACATAATTGTTCTGTTTCATTTTAAAATTTTCTTTTTTGTTATTTTTTCTTGCAGTTTCTTCATCTGTCTATCCCCCAGATATTCACGATGTGAGAGCTCGTTTCTTTTCTATCCCAAGATCGCAATCTTTTTTTTTTTTTCGAAATCAGACTCCAAAGAATTCTCAAAATCGATCATGTCTTCTCGTCAGAACATTTTGAACATTTCCCTTTTCTATATTTCTCCAATCGCTTTTCAAGCAATTCTTTATGCTGCTTCACTTTCTCTTCGATCTTTAGCTTTATTTCTTCAAGCGACCATTTTCTCACTGTCAGTTTAGGCTCAGACACTTTTTCTTTATCTCCTACAACTATCTCTTCATCTTCTTCTTCCTCTATAACTTCTTCTTCAGACTCAAAAAAGCTACATTGCTTGTCATGACAGGTTTGCAACCTTTTTGATATATCAAACAATATCTTCAAATTCTTTTTGATCTTATACCCTTCTTGAAGCTTCTCATGCATTTCTTCAATACAAGTCACCTGCATTTTTTCTAAATTTCTCATTTCCCATACCAAATGTGCTTGTTCTATAATCACACTGTCGTCACAATCGTTGATCAAAACTTTCTTCAGTTTGTCCAATAACGTCATTTTGGCTGCTAACTCTTGATTCCTTTCTTCCTCCATTCTAGTGATGATTTCATGTCTGGTTTTTACTGGACAAAATTTAAGGCCATCCAGGATATCCACAAACTTGATATCCTTTTCGATCTCAAAGTGCAAATCCCTAGCAAATTTATTCTCGAAACACTCTACTACTTGATTCATGATACATTGTAGTTTCTGAAGAATAATCAAAATTCTAGTAAACTTCCTTATTATAAAGGTATTTTCTACATCTTCGTTCATATGACAAACTATCAACTTCACAAGAGAGTCTTTAAGGTGATGCAAATCTTTAAACTTCTGTAGTAAAGACAGTTTACTTTCTTTACAGTTACACTTTTTGCTCATAATCAGTCTTTTCCAATCTTGCACTATCGATCTTTTCACGTATTGCAGCTCAATGAGTTGATCAAAAACTTCAGCATACTTTCCAAAATCCATGTGAATCAAAACATCAGTTTCATACAAAATTTGAGAAGCTCGTTCTCGTATGGTTTGCAAAGGAACTTCTGTATCCGATTTTGAACCTTGGGCATATGTCAAGATATGGTGAATCTTATCACAAGTTACTTCTTCTGATGAGTCATAGTGCACATATTTGACTTCGTCTTCTGAAGATGATTCTAGCTTCATTTTAACTATTTCATTTTTGGTCTTCTTCAGTTTGACCGTCTCTTCGTCACTATGTTTGAACTCTTTCTTCAAAAATAATGGCCTCTTATAACCATCGATTTCCATGAAGGGTAGACCCTTGTTATCTATAATAACCTTAGGTCTAACTTTCTCCACAACAATTTTTTTAATAGTGTTATCTTTTTCTTGCAACTTCTTCCGGTTTCTTCTGCAGTGTTGACATTCACCAACTATCTCTTCCTGTGAATATGAATAGTGCTTTCTAGGTCTACGTCTTCTAGGTCTTTCTTCTTCTTCAGAGCCTGCAAATATTTTTTCAAGTTTCTTTACTAAATATTTTTCTACGTCGTCTTCATTCACCATACTGAGAACGTATCTCTTTTTCCTGACTTTGTTTCCGGAGACGTTCCGAAAATTTTGCTCAGTTGCAGAGGCATTGAGAAAATTTTGAGAAAGTGACCTTTCTCCGAATTCATCATTTTCATTAAATGCGACTTCGTATTCAGGTTGGTATTGTTCAAGTTCTTTATTGTCAAAAACAACCTCATATTGAGGATTGTACTGTTCCTCCTCTATTTCGTCAATAGCCAAGCTGTATTCTGGCCCATATTGTTGAAGCTTTCCGCTTAAGCTTCTTTTATGTCTGTGTAATCCATGCGCTTCAACTGGTGGTTCGAAATCACCGATAACATCGCTGGCAAAATTCAAGAAGTTTCTTCTAAGATTCTTTCCAAAGTCCCTAAAGTATCTTTTGGTCCCTACAATCATTCTAGGAAAAGATAAGATAGAAGGCTCATGGTCTTTGTCAAACCCTCCAAGAAATTTCCCAGGCAATGTCAGCAAATGAACTATTGGTGACTTAGGAACCATTTCATTATATTGAAATGGAGATCCTGCAGTTTCTTCTTTTACTTTGAGCTTCTTCAATTCACTTCTGATAACTTTCTTGATAGCTTCTATTCTCACAGGTTTTTTGTAAGCTTTTTCTTCGTACGAATCATCTTCGTAGTGTTCTCCTTCTTCTTCGCTAGATGTAATATCCTCTTTGACTTTGACTTTGTAGATTGGTAGTGACAACTCTTCGGAATCTATGACAACAGTTGCGCGTCTGTTTCTAGTTTTTTCATCGTTTTCTAGAGAACGTCTGAGCCTTCGTTGATCTATTTTTCTCAGTCTATACATTAATCTTTCTCTAGGTGTCATTCTTTTTCTGCTGTTATGTTCTTCAGAGCATGAATCACACTCCAAGTCATTGCCAATTATTTCTCTTGCCGTATATTCGTTTAACCACGACTTAGTTTCTTTCTTTTCATAATATTCTTCTGAATCTTCAAATCGTGGTGAGATACTTGGATACCTCTTCATTTTCTTAACACCTGGTTTCAAAAGGCTATCTATGAATCCAGGCACTTCTTTTCGCTGCAAGTGACTATTTATTATTCTAGATTTTGTAGGTGAAATTTTTTTATATAAATCTAATCTTCGCTGCAACATCTCGTTCTTCCGTTCAAGTTTTTTCTTTTCTTTCTCAATCTTGGGGACAGCTTGTTGGATTTGTTGTATTCTTTTATCAGGATGGGTTAAAGCGATGGTGTTGACAGTATGTTTAAGGGGGTCTTGAATGAATTTCGGAAGCATGTTCATCATGAATTTGAATCCATGGTCAATGATAGGCAACTGTCTCTTGCATATTCTATGGCAGTCATCCTTCAAGTCGCAAGTGGGTGCGATCAGATGTGTTGTGACGTTTTCTGTAGTGTTTGCGATACTTATAGTGATGTTATACCTGCAACTGCAGCTGCTGCCGCAACCTCCGCAGTTTCCACAGCTTCCGAAACTGTCGTAACTTCCGCAGCCGTCAGTAGAAATTTGACGCGTGGTGCACGTGGTCCTGCAGTTAGTCTCTCTGTCGGTGTGGCGCCATTTCGGACGGTAGTTTGCTGAAAAAAAAATGGAATGAAAATTTAGTTTTTAATTATTGTGATGAAAACAAATGACAAATAGGTTGATTAAAAGTAATTTTCTTACGTGGTGCTGGGACGACAATTCTGTCAGCGCAAGCCTTTAGTCCAACCAGGGGTAATGAAAAGACACCTGGGGCAGATGTTTCTGCTGGCAGCTGTGCTGGGGCCTGCACCTTTACCGGGTACACCATTCCTGAGTAGAAGGATGCTGCTTCGTTCTTCACACACGCTGGTTTTGCGGGCTAAAAAAGAAAATAGTACATTACAGTGGACCTCCGGTAATCCGACAAACATTATGCAGGGCAGTTTCGAACTATCGAATTTGTCGGATTATAGAGCCCTGCCTAAGACCCCTTATAGTCCGGATTTTTCTACAAAAGAGTACCTTGTAATCCGACAAATTACATATCCAATGGTAAGATTATATATGTTATGTATATGTATGTACTTTGAAGTACAAATCATACATAGTTTATGTATGTCGAATTTAGTAAATTAAATAACAATAGAGAGCTTACGTTTTAATAAAAAATTAAGCATAAATGCACATACATATGTACCAGAATAATCAAGAATTATTAATCAAAATCATTAATGAATTTATCAAATTATGAAGCTTGGAAATATTCATCAATTTTTTTTGTTTAAGGTTGTTATAACGCGAGATCGGAGCTTTGTTTTTCAGTCTTCTCAAAAGTAAAAGTTCGTTGTAGGATGTACCATTCTCTTCAGCCCATTGTAAACCTAGCTCAAAGGCGTTAATTGCGCCTTGTGCTGTGACTTGTGGAGCAGTTGCAATCACGTCGCCGTTATTTTCCTGATTGGTTGTTGGATAATTAGAAACCTCTTTTATAATCTCTTCGTCAGACATTTCATGAAAAACATTTATCTCTTTATCCATTCCAGATTTCCAAATCTTCCGGACTTATCTGGGTTTCAGTAGCGACTTGATCTATATCTTCCGAAGGAACACTGATTTGTGGAACGTCGCTAGGAGTGGTAAATATATCTGGACATAACTTCTTCCAAGACGATTCAATAGTTGATGACGGTAACGCATTCCACGACTGACAAAGAGCAAAAACCAAGTCTTTCATATTAAATTCTTTTAAAGTTTTTTCTATTGGTTGGTCTTTTGATACGGCTTTCAGAAGTAGGTCTTTCTTATAGTCTTGCTTGACAAACTGAATGATATTCTGGTGCATAGGTTGAATCAGTGCAGTGCAATTTGGCGGAAGAAACATCGCAGTGATGCATTTATCCTCAGTTGTTAGTTCTTCTTCAGACGGATGACCGGGAGCGTTATCAAGAAGCCACAATGCTTTTTGAGGAAAATTATGATCTTTTAACCATTTTCTAACTTTAGGTACGAAGCATTCATCAAACCACTTTTTGAAAAGGTCTTTTGTCATCCATGCACTTTTTTGTCCGTAATAGTGTACAGGTAAATCAATGTTTTTGAATGCCCATAGTTTATTAGATTTCCCAATGGCCATCATCTTAAGCGCGTGTATACCAGCAGCGTTAGCACATGGTAGTATGGTTACACGCTCGTTACTTACTTTTCGTCCAGGTACGGATTTTTCGTTACAAGAAACGAAAGTTTTCTTAGGCATCACACGCCAAAAAAGCCCCGATTCGTCTGCATTGTACACCTGTGACGGGTCAAGATTTAAATCGTTTACATTTTGCAATAATCTTAATTTAAAGTGCTCTATGCAGGTGGCATCGTTAGAAAGTCTCTCTCCTGTAACAGCCATTAAACGTATGCCATGACGACTTTTAAAACGTTCTAGCTATCCTTTGCTGGCCACAAAATCATCTTTTTTTGTTATTTCCTTATAAAAAAACTTAGCTTTCATGGCCAACATGGGTCCTGAAATTGGTGCATACCTATTTCATTCCTAAAGAAACCACATGTACAAAGCTTCTTCCATTTCTGGATGTTCAGCTTTCTTGAGTGTCTATCTCTTGCCTGGCCCGCAGTCAGTACACGAACTTCTTGATCTTATCGTGGTTTCTTTTAGTGTCATAAATTGTAGACCGGCCTACGCCGTATTCACTTGTTAAACTACTGAAAGTTTCATTGCGATTTAAGCGGTCTAAAATATCACATTTTTCTTTGTCAATGTTTTGTGCTTTCGCTTCTGAGTTTGTGATGACATTACTAGGTACTATACTTAATACACAATTAATAAATAGTAAACAATGAACGCAAGTAAAACAATGCTTACGCGTCGAGCACGACAGCGGTGGCGCGTACAAGTTGTGACCTGTTCAAACCTGCGTGATCTACGTTAGCGAAGATGGTTAAATATGTATATTGTAATTCTCAACATCGCTTCCCCAGGTGATTCAAATTTTCATAATGCTTCGGTGATTCTGGTTTTTTTAGGAATGACCTACCTGGACCTTGTAGTTGTAATCAATAGGAATTACAGGCAGAGGTAGAGGTGGCACAGCAAGAGTTTCGGGTGCAGGTTTTTGAACTATAAGCGGCAGAGCGGGCAGAGCTGCGTAGAAACCAGCAGATGAGGGGACTCCGTCCGTCCTATAGATCACCTTCAGGCTACCACATTGTTTCCCAGTTGACACTTCGCCGGCTACTTCCAAGTTGTTCGAGCACTGAAAAATACATCGAACGTTACAGTAATTGAGCTATTATCACTACTTGACATATTAGTATGTTAATACATGCGAGGGCCATTCTTTAAGTAAGAACCGTTATGTAATGGATTCAGAGAAACTTTATTTTTGAATGTAAATTGTATCACGAACTAAAATATGAACATTTCTTCATTTTCAATCTAGTCAGCATAAAAATTTAAACATTTGTCAAGATATGGTGCCAGCCGCCGTTTGACCGTTAAACCAGTTAGTAAGTGTTTTTTTCAAAATGTCATCATTTTCTAAGCGCTTTCAACCAAAAAATTCATTATGCTTTGGAAAAAGAGGAAAGTCTTATGGTGCTAAGTTAGTGCTGTAGGGTTGATAATCTAGTAATTCCCAACGAAGATTGTCTATTTGTGTCTGTGTTCTTGTATCAACGTGGAACGTTATCAAATAAAATCGTTTTACATTTTTACTTTGCAGTTTTGTATTCCTGGCCGCTGATATCAATTCAAGTTGGAAATTCTAAGGATTCGGATAACTTAAAACATTTTTAACAACCCGGCAATGTCGCTTAGTTCAAAAATGTACCGGCAACGTATTGAGGGCTAGCACGGAAAGCTGACTAGCTGACGTGTGGACCATCACTTGTTAAACGAGCGCCGCGAACAGCGTTGACAGATGTTTTATTTTACTTATTTACATATTTATTAAAAATACGTTGTATTTTTAACAGCAAAAGGGAAAAGGGTGTAAACGCTTTTATTATAAATTTTTTTAAATGTTAAAAAATATAAAACGTCATATCACTAACGGGAAAAAATATTTTTAAATTTGTCTTATCAACGCCTAATTAAAAGCTTGTTTTCAAAAATGATTTTTTTTATTTTATTGTACACACATCTTTTTACTTTTACTGTACACGCATTTTTCTGCCCTCTCAATTTTGGAACAATTTAAAATATGGTACCTACACATGATTTTTGAGGAACGTAGTAATTACATGCACAGTTTTCTTGGTAAGGTCTGCCAGTGTTCTGGAAAATCAAGAAATTACTTTAGAAAGCTTAGGTCGGTATGTAACTTAAACAGTTTGAAACAATTTGGAAAACATGAGGTCATGAAAAAAACGGTCAGAGCCTCGTAAACATGCACCTCTTTTCAAAGATATCACATTTTTTGCTCCCCAAAGATCAGTAGCTCTGCATAATGCTTTCCTTCCAATAAATGGCTAGGTGCCGTGCAAGTATTACGTGAGCACTATGGGGGGGTCTTTGCTTTGCTTATTTTGGATGACATTGGGGGTAGGGGAGTCTAGATGATGATTACGTCATCGGTAGTTATTTACTTTTTTACACGAATGGCAACCATCACACTGTCTTTGCTTGAAAACGAAAGGCATTTTCGGGGATTCACGCAAATAATGCATACGTTTAGTGAAGCGCGCGCGGTAATTCCCCTACTCGCTTTAGAACAGAGTAGGGGAATTACCGCGCGGTGTTCACTTGTCTAAATTTCCTCTATCAGTGTATTGTTTCGTTTGGATACTATAACGAGTAGACGTATTGTAAGCATAGTAAAGCAAGTTAACATTTGTGTTACCATTGATTCCATTAGCCAAAGTTTAATGTTTAAATAAGATGACGTTTCACTTAGACAAATCCAAGTTATACCAAAAATTGTTTGAAAGTTTTAAAAAATCTCAAACAAGTACGAAAGTATAAAATGTACAAAAGTTAGTTAACGAAGTGTGGCGAAATTACAAATTACACGCAAAATCCGACAAGGAACTAGATATGATTGTATATAAGGGAATCGAAGAAGAATTGCAAGCGCCTACTAAGAATAAATCTAATCTACTAAATTCTTTTCGAAGGTGAGTGACGAAATCATTTTAGGTACCTATGAGTACTAGAAATATTAGAAATCTCCAAAAAGTTTCTCTTTACTGGTTAGAAAATATTATGGCCTATCTCAAAGTATAGAGGTAATATTCATTATATTATAGATTTATTTCTTATGATTGATTCCGTCAATTGGTCACAAAGTACAGGATGTTAGTTTTATACATATATACAGAAAACTACCACCCTGTATTTTGTGACCGGAACGAATTGCTCGTTTAAACGTATTAGATTTAAAGCCATAGGGTTTTGTATTTACCATATATATTGCCACACTTTGTATTTATGTAGCTTAATAAGAAAATCTTTAGCAGAAGCCATAGAAAGTTTTTATTTTTAGGCAACCTGTAAACCTGCAGAAAAAACACAAATTATACAGTCAGCTTCAAATATTAAAAAAGAGGAAAAAGATAAAATAAACCTCGCTAATGAATCTCAACAGCAATACGAAATTAATGAAAATACGGATAAACAGAGAGCAAAACGTTCTCAGGAAGCTATGAAAAATAAGATTGCTCTACTCGAAAAAAATCTGAATGCTTTGTATTTTGCCAGAGATACTATGCCAATCCGTGCTGAAGTTGATAAACAGATCTTTGAGTTGCGCGAGGAAATAACAACAGCAAAACAGTCTTTAAACAGCAAGGTTCAAAACGCAGTTGCCCAGAAGAAACACAGGGATGGTATGAAAAGAAAGTTAGAAGATATTTGTCATGAAAATCCAGAATTACAAAAAAGACTATCTCTGAAGGATTCAGTGGGACGTCCTAATCTTGAAAGCAATCAACATTCACTATTGGGAACAATCGCGTATATAGCTTTATTTGGGAGTGCAGCAGATGACAGAAGACGAACGGAATCAATTCGCAGCGTAAAAACTCTTGATGAACTCACACAAGAATTACGTAAAATAGGATTTGACATTAATCGCAGTGGATCATATCTTCGATTGATTCCAAGAAAATATAATTCTGCAGAGGGACGAAGACATGTATCGACAGTCTCTGTTAAGCTCATTCGGGCTCAAACTGATCACCACAAGAGCCACTTAGATTCAAGTTCGCTGAAACATCAATCCATTATTTAGAGAACATAGCATCTATACTTGGACCAGATCAAGTATTCTTCATACCTCAAGATGATAAAGCTCGAGTTCCTATTGGCGGAACTGCGGCAAATAAGCTAGCACCTCTTCTAATGCACATGGAATATAGAATCAAATTGCCTGATCACGATTGGGTAATCGCTGAGCGTCATAAATTCATATCATCTGTTTATGCTGGTATCAAAATCACTTCCAATATGCTAGGACAACCGCAAGCCGTTGGATATTCTGAACCAACATACATCGCTATTCGAAGTGGAAAGCATAGTTCATCTACTGCTAATACTCATGCTCAGGATTTCGAGACGCTTCTCGAACTTGAAGAGTTTCGACCACAATTAGCTAAAACTGACCATGGACTAGTAAAACCAGTGGTAATCATGACGGTTGATGGAGGGCCAGATGAAAATCCAAAAAGTCATAGGGTTTGCTATACAACACTTTAAGCGACATGATCTGGATGCATTGGATTTAGCTACCAATGCTCCTGGAAGAAGTGCGTATAACAGAGTAAAGCGCAGAATGGCTCCTCTTAGTCGGGAACTGGCTGGTTTAATATTGCCTCATGACCATTTTGGGTCTCATTTGGATGAACGTGGCGTTACAATTGATGAACAGTTAGAAAGATCTAATTTCGAATTTGCAGGAAATGTATTAGCTGAAGTATGGAGTTCAATGGAAATTGATGGCTATAATGTTAATGCAAAATATGTTGGGGCAGGTGAACAAGATCTTCCTGATTTGCCAGACGTTAAATGGTATTCAGAACATGTGCGTGAGAGCCAATACTTGCTTCAAATTGTAAAATGTAGAAATACAGAATGCTGTCGTCCAAGAAGTGGCCTATTTAGATTACTAGACACTAGGTTTGTTCCACCACCTGTAAAAGTAAAACAAACAGTTGACGACTTGGTTTTGGATGAAGGTGTCAATTTAGCTCTACGCTTAAGTGCTTCACACAACGATTTCCTGCAAATGCCCTACGATTATTTTTGTCCGACGGTAAAATTAATGCTTTCAAGTCGAACATGCAAAACGTGTGGTCTTTATCATGCTTCCGTCAAGTCCCTAAGTCGTCACATCGAAAATATCCATAAAAAAGTAAACACGCACACTGATAGGAAAGTTAGACCTGTAAGAGTCGCTGCTCGTCGTGCTAATGAATTGATGTGCATTATTCAAAATTCAGAGCACCATGATGTTGAATGGCTCGATGAGAACGACTTAGACATTCCAAAATCCGATGAAAGCGAGCAAACTCACAACACTGAGCAGCAATCGAGGCAATCCAATGTCATCGAAAACATAGAATCATGGATTCGGGTTTCATGGACTGAAGACTGTTAATTTGAATTTAATATATGTACCAAAAATTTAAAATAAGTTTGTTATGTTAGTAAGATATAATATTTTTGTACTTTATGTTGAATACTGTATCAGTAAAATATAATCTCTATCCTAAATCTATTTTCTTATTTTTCAAATTATAATTATAACGTTATAATTATAATATTAAAAAAAACAATAGATTAATTGACAAATGTTTACGTAAGCATGGGGGAGGGGGTAAGAGCTTTGCTTACTTTTGATGACAAGGGGGATGGGGGGGGGTAAATAATTGTAATAAATCTGCTTACGTAATACTTGAACGGCCCCCTACTTATAACTGAATAAAAGTAAACAAGCACCTCTATCAACAACGTGGAGTTCTTATGTCACATTATATAATCCCAATTAATGTTCTGAGCTGTTTTCTTTTTTAAATAAACTTACTTTGAGACAGCCGCAATCAGCCGAAGCATATCCGATAACGGCGAACAAAACAACAATCAACTTCATTTTGAAAGTTCGGTGCGGGTACTGTTCACAAAAAACACCCGTCTGAATCTCAGAATCAGGAAGTGATCATTCTTATATATTTGTTGCAACATTTATTTACAATTCCGGCCAATGACAATCTCGTGACGTGTTGTTATCTTTAAACACCGCCAATTCATAACAGAATGTTCGGTGAACGTGCATTCACTGGATTGTTTCGATGGAAGACAGGGGTCATCAGTCTAAGTTGACGCGGAAATCGGAGGTGTTTGTTTGTTATTTGTTTTTGTAGGAAATGACAATTTTTATAATAGATGTAGGCGCGTATAGGTAACACGCCCAATCTTATTGCATAAAGCTTTAAAATCATAAATAGATCTGCGAAACTGTTTCATCCTCAACAAAATGAGGATAGTGATTTCTATGAAAGATCAAATAATGTTGAAAGACTTAGCGATTATTATTCATCTGAAATGACCTCAAGCTTAACCCCTGATTCTGAAACACTAAATAGATATTTAAATAGTAGAAAATATAATTTGAAGAGTGACTTCATCTTCACAATGAATTGTATAGATGAAGTTGCCGATACCTTAAAGTTAATCCAGTCAAAGGTCATTGGTGTTGATAATATTGGGATTGATATGTTATTATATTGATGTCCTCGTATTTTACCCGTAATAACTCATCTAATTAATACTCGTATTGAGTTTTCAGTGTTTCCTGATTCTTGGAAAATTTCTCATGTCACACCAATTCCAAAACATGACAGTCCCAATGAATTCAACGATTTAAGATCAACAAGTATTCTGCCCACTCTTTCTAAAGTTATTGAGAAGATTCTTGAGCGGCAAATTCGTTATTACCTGAATCCTAATAAAATACTTCCTGAACATCAGTCAGGATTCAGGCAAGGGTACAGCTGTGCTACTGCCCTGCTAAAGATCACTGGTGACATAATAGAAGCAACTGATAAAAATGAGTTAACTGATTTGATATTATTAGATTAGTCGAAAGCTTTTGATAAGCTGAACCATCAGCTACTGCTTGCAGTATTGCATTTTATTGGTTTTTCTAGTGAATCTGTGAAATTGATTCAAAATTATTTATCTAACCGTAAAAAAATTTTTAAAATCAACAAGATTTTTTCTGAACCTAAAGCTCTCATCAGTGGTGTACCCCAAGGCTCTATTTTAGGGCCTCTCTTCTATATTATTTATACGTCAGAGCTGCACGCTTGCCTTAAGACTTTCTCTTTACATGCATATGCCGATGACACGCAAATATATACTTTTTTTAATTCAGAGCAGATCATGCTAGCAGCAGCCAAAATTAATTCTGACTTACTGTCTTTGGGCATAGCCTCTAAGAACCATTGCTTAGTCTTAAATCCGGATAAGTCAAAAGCTATCATTTTTGGTAGGAAAAAAGCACGGAATGATATTTCTAGTTCTATTAGCTTAGAGTTGGATGGTAAGCTTATACCTTTAGAAGATAGTGTCAAAAATCTTGGCGTCCTAATTGATAATGACCTCCGTTTTCATGGCTACATCACAAATAGGGCATCATTTCCTAAATTAAAACTAATTTATGGTCAAAGAAGGATATTGAGCCACAATTGGAAACGTAATCTGTACGATTCTTTAGTCTTTTCTGCGTTTAATCATTGTGATGTTGTTTATCATTCCTGTATAACTAAAGCTGACAATGATCGAATTCAGCTCACGCAAAATTCATGCACGCGTCTGATTTGTGGAACTCCTAGAGGAGAACACATCATTCACAAAATTAAAGAGATAAATTGGATCAAAATGTTTCAGCGCCGAATACTTCCCTGTTTGGTACTATATCATAAAGTGATGGTGAGTCAAGTACCACAGTATTTGTGTAGTAAAGTACAATTGAGGGTTGAATCACATAATGTCAATATGAGAAGCAAGAATTTGATAAGTCCTCCATGTCACATCACTTCTCAGTATGAACAATCTTTTTCATACTGTATTTATAAGTTGTATAATCAGTTACCTTCGGACCTTAAGTCTATGACACTGATATTTTTCAAAAAACACGCTAAGGCTTACGTTATGTCAAAATATTCTTTCTAATTTAATTAAGCTTTGATATTAGTCCAACTTGGTATTCTCAAGTTGTTGCTAGTTTATGTATGTAAGTTAAATTACTGCTACCGAAATACTTGTTTTTAAAAAAAACTTTATTTCGAATAACGGTACAAAAGGACTTTTGTGAAACGATGCGTAAAACAGGACGGTTAGACAAGAAGTGACAAGATTTCCTCACACATGGATTTAGTACAATGCAGTAGAAATGCTGATACAGAGGATGTTAACATGTGACCTTCAAGGCGCGATATAAGATTCCATAGCGTAGCGACAATGCTAGCAAGAAATGCAAGTACCCAGATAATAATTATAATATTATATAAAATACAGGGTGATGATGGATATAACTCCTCCCCCCTTAAACTCTTAGAACGTCCTCGTTCTTATCGATCTCAATAGACTGATTTGACTTTCGAGATGATTTTTTCTCTTTACAGAACTTTTTTTTCAATTTTACCACAAGCACAAACAATATAACAACAAATACACCTATTATAAGAGTGCTATTTACATGAGAATGGTAATTTTTAATATGGGTCAGTTCCTTAAGACTAAAACTAGGTACATTTGTCATCTGTTTCTGTGATAAGGATATTGTGCGCTGGATCAGTCTGAGATAATCTAAAATTTCTCGTAAAGGAATAATTAGTCTAAAAATCGAACTTTCATATTCGTAATCATAAATTGACTTCTTGACAGTTTCTGATAGTAATTGTACATTGTTTTGAATGACTTTCATGAGCTGAGCGAATGATTTTTGATTATTGATGGCTATTATAAGTTCGTTTTCCTTGTCCTTTAATGATTGAAATTTATCATTGATTTCTGTAAGGTCATCTTGATCTAAATTTCCTGTCACATACCTAATTATGCTGCCAAATCCGTTAATAATTGCTCGACGCCTTCTGCTGTGTGAATGATAAGGTGATAATTTTAAATATTCCATTTTTTCATTATTAATATTTTTGTATAGGTCCTCTAGAACCGGTTTGAGGTTGATATCATTAGAACGGTTTACTACAATACTATAACTAACTTCTATCTGTCTAATAACATCAGCTATTAAGCTGAGATTATGGCTAAAAATAAACGTATGATAATGGCTTATTAATTCTGCGTCCCCCAACAGCTCCAGGTAGAAACCCTTATTGGTTGGGACTTGATGAAGCCTCAGCGGAAGACTCTGCGGCCATAGGGTTGCCATGTGAAGAAAAACCCTTTTTTACTCTTTTAATCTGACGCAAATTCCTTCTAGTGCGAACTGGTTCTTTGCTTAGAGTCTGTAACCGCAAGGTATTGCCTTTCTGATTTCTAACTTTTGATTTCACCTGTCTGGGGTTGATTTTCGTAGTCCTTTGTCTGGACTTGACAAAAACCGTAGTCTCATTTGGAATTTCCGGTCGTTCAGTGCGATTTTCGTTTCTCTTTCGGAGAACCTTTTCAGCTTTTTCCTTACAATTATCGCTTACCGTCTGATATAATAGTTTGAGCTCGTCAACACGCTTTTGGTTGTATTGTTCATATACGTCCCTACTTAATTCGATATTTGTTACATTTGTTCTGTTGAAAGGAGTATAGATGAGTGAGTGGGGAGAAAAATTCGTTGAACTATGGACACTTTGATTATAATTCAAAATCGCGGTCACCATGAGCTCCTTTATATCTGATTTCGGGTTTTGAAGCCTTAAAGCACTTAATTTTTCTTTAATGGTACTGTGGAACCTCTTAACGGGAGAATTAGATGAAGGATTCTCAGGAGTGGTAAAATGGACTTTGATTTTATGTAACTCGCAGAATTCTTTGAAAGTTCTGGCTGTGAATCCGGCTCCGTTATCACATGTTATTTTTACAGGAATTCCATGATGGCTGATAAAATTACGTAGTTTTTCAAGCAAAGTTATTGAATTCTCATCAGTAATATGATATTTAGAAAATAAATCCAAAATGGTGAAAAACTTGTTGCTATCAATTTTGAAAGTATCAACGTGAATAATTTCGAACGGGTATTTTGCAATTAGCGGCCCTTCTTACGGTGGTTTGTAAGGATTTCTATCGTATTTAGCTAAATTGCAGGTCTCGCAGGAATTGACTAATGCGTTTATAGAATTTTTCATGTTGGGCCAATAGTACCTTAATTGAAACGTCTTTAGTGTTTCTTGAATTCCGTTATGATTTTTTGAGTGATATTCTTCGACTAATCTTGTTTGTTCCCCTTCGTCGGTGATATCTAAAAGTAGTTTATTTGTAAAAATTAGATGAACCTCGGGGTCAAACAGGGAGCGTACCAATTGTGTGATAATCGGTTTCAAGGGTTCATTATGACAGAAGATACCATATGTATTTTTTGGATCGACATACTCGATAAGTGTTTGTGATATCTGAGAATGTAAACTATCGGGCGAAAGCGTCACATATAATCTATATTTATTTTTGAAAATCTCCTTTCTGGTAACTTTATAATTATCCAAAATCTTGAACTCAAATTGACATTTAAAATAATTCAGTGGGTTTTCTGAAAAAGAAGTACATTAATAGGGTGTTCGTAATTATTATTGTTCATCGTTCCCGATCTAGAAGGATTGTATGAAGATGACTGATCAGAGTGTTCTACTTCCCCTTGTATAGAAGTTTGGTTAGTTTCACGCTTATTCTCAAGACATGCTCTTACTAAAGGAATCTGAAGGTATTCAGAATTTTCCTTAGATGTACAGGGTAATTGGTCATCCACGGCGTTAAGTTCTGCCCTTGATAAAGCATCAGCGACGCAATTTTCTTTACCCTTTTTATAAAGTATATCATAGTCATATTCTTCGAGGCGGACCTTCCAGCGTGCTAGCCTGGATACCGGATCTTTCAGATTAAATAGCCAAGTCAGCGGTTTGCAATCTGTTTCAATTACAAATTTTTTTCCATACAGATAAGGGCGAAAATATTTTACAGAATCTACGATTGCAAGCAATTCCCTCTCCGTTGCACTATAGTTCCCTTCGGCATTATTTAATGTACGAGAATAAAAAGCCACGGGGCGGTCCTTCTGGGAAAGGACAGAACCAATAGCTACGCTACTACTATCGGTTGTTAGTTTGAAAGGTTGCGAAAAATCAGGGTAAATTAAAACTGGCCAAATTGTGACTAAGTCTTTTAATTTTCAAATGCCTGAATATATTCCCTATTCGTGGTGTCTAATATGGCACCCTTCTTCAACATTCTAGTCATTGGTTGCGCGATGCGAGAATAACCTTTGATAAATTTTCGATAGAATCCGGTGAGACCTAAGAAACCTTTAATTTGTTTTGTGGTCTTTGGAATAGGAAATTCCACGATTCCTTTTATTTTGTCTGGATTGGGTTTTATTCCTTGTTCGGTGATAACGTGACCTAGGAACGGTACCTCTTTGCGGAGAAATTCCGTTTTATCTAGCTGTACCTTTAGATTATAGGTTTTCAATTTTTTAAATACGAATTCTAAGTGTTGAATGTGCTTTTCTAATGATTTGGAATATACCAAAATATCGTCCGTGTAGACAATACAACTTTTATACAACTGGTCACGAAGAACGTCATCCATTAAGCGCTGAAATGTCGCCGGAGCATTTCGCAAGCCAAAAGGCATCCGGATATATTCGAGGTGCTGATTATTCACCGTAAAGGCTGTTTTCTCAATAGATTCAGGATCCATCGCGATTTGATGAAATCCTTAAGAGAGGTCGATTGTCGAAAAAAATGAGCATTTGCCAAGGTTGTCCAGAATTTCGTCAATTCTGGGCAATGGGTATTTGTCCTCTATGGTTTTAAAATTTAATTTCCTATAATCGATGACAAGTCGAAATTTACGCTGACCGGATGCGTCCAAGCGCTTCGGCACGATCCATACCTGAGAGGAGTAAGGTCTAATACTTGGCCTTACAATTTTGTTATCGATTAATTTTTGTACTTGCAAATTAATTTCTTCCTGGATAACAGGGGGGTACCTAAACGGTTTCGGATAAATCGGTATGTCATCGGTTGTTCGAATCTTGTGCTTAACGTGATGAGTACAGGTCAAGTCTGTACCCTCGAAGTAAAATATTGTTTTATATTTGTGGCAAAGTTCGAGGACCTTTTGCTTTTCATCCGGTGAAAGATGATCGGTACGTATTAATTGAGTTATATTGAAATCATTTTCTTGGATATCAGGTTTTTTAATGTTGTATTCAAGCAAAGGATCTACATCTATGGGCTCTATGCAACATATCTCTTCCGGGGTACAGTGTTCTACAGGAATAGGTATGGTGACGTGGAAATCGCGAGCCGTAGCTAACAACGACGGGACCATTCTTAATTTTGACTGGTATAGTAATATGATTGACATATTCAAGGCGAGTCGGTTTGATTGGTGTAGTCCTTTCGATAACCAATGGAATACATCGATTTTTTAACTGAACAGTTTGATTGGTATAGTCAATTTTTGCACCTAATTTCTGAAGATCATCTGTCCCTAGCAACAGATCAAACTTGTCGTGCCAATCGACTACCTTGAAACTTAGGACTTTATTGATGCCAAATTCATTCAGGATTGGGTATTGAACATTTTTTGAACCATGAGAAATCTTATTTAGCGATTTTACTTCAAAATTTTGTTCAAATTGAAATTCTGAAAAATAGGTATCTGCAATGTCGGAGTTCATAATGTTTGACGTAGCTCCCGTGTCCACCAATATTTTAAGGCCTAACTTCGGGAGAACTATATAGGGGAGCTTCGAAAGCTTGTAAATGTTATTTAAGTCGACTGATTCGGTTCCGAGGCTGGTATTGGAAAATTTCCAACCTGGGCACTATCATTTTCAAAAGTAGCTACCTCACTTTCCAAGTAATCAAAGTCTTGCTGATCAACGTACGGGGCTTCAGAAAAATAGTTATCGTACTGATCAGGAAATTCAGAGCCTTCAGTCTCCTGATTATGGAGCTCTTCCACAATCACATTTGGACGGCTTGTTTGTTGAAAAAAGTTGGGGCGATACGGCTGTCTTATAGAATTATTTGGGCGATAATTACTACCATCGAGGACATAGGTGTTGGCCTATTAGGTTGGGTATTCCTAGAAATTTGTCGATTTGAATTTGGAAAACGATTTGGAATTAACTGCGGCTGAATTAGTTGCGGCCGAGGAGTTAAATTGTTTGGTCTGGGTGGACCAACTCTGGGTGGTGACAATTGGAATTGCGGCCTAAACTGATTTTGGAAGCTATTATTGAAATTATTTCCCCTCTGATTTGGTACTGGTTTGGGAAACTGACTATTTTTGCGTTGGGGTTCGTCCTTATCTCTCATGAAATTGGCCAAAGAACGCTCATACCAAAAGTTTTCCATTTCTTGAATTTTACGCAAAGCGTCTGGCAAACTATTCACGTGCGAGTGCGCAAAAATATTACCATACTGATCCTTCAATCCAAAAATGAAGCGTTTTAAAGCCTGATGACTGTACATTTCTGATTTTATCTGAAATGGTTCAGGAGGCGAATTTAATTTTACCTGTTGCAACATTTTTTGCAGTTGTTCGTTTATTCGATCGTAATACTGTTGATAAGATTCTTTGTTATTCTGATGCATGCGAGAAAGTTCGTAAGCTAAACAAGATTCATTTCTTTTATCACCGAATCTATTAACAAGAATCTCTTTGACATCCTTCCAAGTAACCCAGGAACTGTTATTCAATAAATCTCTAGCATCGCCTTTGATTTTTGCGATAATATTATGAAAAAGCAATTTATTGAACACACAATTTGGATTCGGCTTTTTCAGCAATTCTATAAATTGGTCTGCCTTTGTGACAAAATCCAAAAGATCTTTACTACTGCCAAAATAATCAGGAACAATATCTTTCGCAAGAGACAACTCTAGACTTGTAATTTCTGAAGTCATGATTGTTAATTCACGTGAACGGTTTCGGTGCCTGTCAGAGTCAGAACGATCTGATTCACTATCGGAATGATAAAAAGGCATAAAAATCTCAGGATGTACCAAAACTTCAGTAACCAGTATCACAGAAATTTACAAGATCTAAGAAATCAAAAATATTTACAAATATTCATAAGACAAATATAATTATTCCAGAGATGTTTGATGAAATATCACCACTAGAAAATGTTTATGCAAAAACAATGATTAACAGCAGAAATGTTCAAAAACTTACAGTAACACGACCACACACCAAAGATTCATGGGAAACGTTGAAGAAACGTTCGTCTTCTACCTTTTCTTCTTTCTTCGGCTTCACTAGTTTCTACGATAGACTGGTTATGCCGCTAAAGATGCAGCACACCCTCCTAGCTGAACCGCTTTTACTGTCAAGGGATTCGGGAGTTCTGGAACTTAGGGCCGACGCCCAATGCTGCTGGTCCTTAGTACCTTCACTCTGTTGTTGCTGGCTGTGGATCCCTCTAAGAACTTGAAAGTTCGCGTGTCTATGACTGGTGATTTCGGCTGGCCGATACTCTGCTCGATTGCCTCGAATTCGGACGCCGAAGGTGCACGTTTCACGTTTCGCGACACGCTGAGGGATCCCGGTTGAGCCCCCAGTTAAATTACTGCTACCGAAATACTTTATTTCGAATAACAGTACGAAAGGACTTTTGTGAAACCTTGTCACGACGATGCGTAAAACCGGACGGTTAGACAAGAAGTGACAAGATTTCCTCACACATGAATCAAATTCAAGCGGATAACCAAATGGAAATGGTATTTACCATTTTGGGTTGGTATTTACCAATCCGTTCAAGCGAGTGTAGTTATCAGTTTGGTTATAAGATCCATGACGTCACGAATCAGCTGTTATATGTCATAGTTATCACCGCAAAATTGTGGTATTTACCCAACTCAAGAGTAGTTTTATATTTCTGGTTATTATTTGAAATGTGACAAGTTAGAATTTTGCCGGGTATTGGATATTGTTATTGTACTTCAGCTTCATTTTTGAGAAAATTGATACAAGCTGACTTCAGTTTTACCTTAAAGTGGAGCACCTTATTAGTTATACTCATTACGGTTGTTGGGGACACTTTAAATGTAGTTCCTATGCTTAACAAAGTATCCTGTGTAGCCATATACCACAAGAATATTAAAATATGGCCATATAAACCTTAGATGATGTCCACCTGTATACGGTTTTGATAATATCTTTTTTCATCGTTTCTGCTGAATCAATAAATGTTTTCTTTGACATGCGGAAAACTTTAGAGAATTGAAAGTTATCAGAGCTACAAAGCCATGGCTCTATCATTAAACATTTTTTTCTAAAAAAAAAGATTTCTCCCATTAATATTATGAAAGGTTTCTTTTTTAAACTTTCCATACACCGTTATAGACGAAAAAGCACCGATTATGAAGTGATAATAAAAATAATCAGAGATTATATACGCGCTTTTCTAAAATAAACAACTTGCAACAAAACCGCGGTTAAAACCAACGCGTTCAAGCGATTCGTGTAACTGACGTCATCAACCCGTGTGTCATCTTGAACCATATTATAACCGCGGCACATAACACAGAAATTTTGGTTATTCGCTTGGATTTGATAATGGATTTAGTACAATGCAGTAGAAATGCTGATACAGAGGATGTTAACATGTGACCTTCAAGGCGCGATATAAGATTTCATAGCGTAGCGGCAATGCTAGCAAGAAATGCAAGTACCCAGATAATAATTATAATATTATATAAAATACAGGGTGATGATGGATATAACTTGTATGTATGTATTTATGTATGCGTTTGAAATGCATGACCATGCTTTTTTACGCTTAGATACTTGCATGTAGGTATACTTTTTTTTGTACAAAACCTTTCTTTTCTTTTCCTTTTTTTTGTCAATTTTTGGGGTTGAGTGGAAGAACACTATTTTTTGTGAACTCCGCCTTTTGGATCATTTGTCTATCTGTATAGCATATTTCCAATAAAGTTGATTATTATTATTATATTGCATATAAAGGAAATTGATAACGCACATTTTGTATGGTAAACTTTCTGTTGTTTCCCTCTTATCTTCAGCACAAGTGTGATGAATCTTCAAACTAGAAAAACATTCTTGATGCGCCACTGGTACTACCGTGTAGCCAAGGGACAAGGAATGCGGGCGGTGGTGTCGGACGAGAGAGGCGCGGGGAGAGGAGAACGCAAAAAAAGAGAAGAGCGTGGTTTTTACGACCGATGTGCGAGGTATTTTTGGACAGAATATTTTGGAAAGGAAAATAGAGTACATGATTATTGATCCCGGACGTTTTATTCTTGACAAATCAGAAGTGGGATTATTCACGTGCCGTACAAGTTCTACAAGTGAGTGATTCAAAATGGGGAAGATGAAAAGGCGTAGTTCTTCTAGTTCATCCTCTAGCTCTCAGTCCAGTTCAAGTTCTTCGACGGACGATGGAAGGAGACATCGTAGGCGAGTAAAATGTTTACGAAAAGAACTCAAATTCAAAAACAAGTTGTTAGAGAAGCAACCTGTAAGTACTGCATACAGTAGTTTAAATATCGATGAATCGCTAATACCTGAGTTTAACCCCTCAAATAGACAATATATAGACTGGGTCAACAAGGTTGATCAGTTGCGTGAGTTATACCAGTGGGATGACCAATTGACAATTAAATTAGCAACAAGCAGACTTCGTGGAAATGCTCGGAAATGGTATGATTCGTTAAACAATCACTGTACTCGATGGTGTAATATGAAAGTGATGCTTTTAGAAATATTCCCTTCGACTAGGAACTTTGGAAAATTGTTTAAGGAGGCAGCAAATTATGTGCATTTACCTAATCAAAAATTCAGTGATTATTGTTTTGAAAAATATGCAAAAATGACAAAATTAAATTTGCATATTAATGATGTAGATATTATAGAATGTATAATTGAAGGGATAAACAATGAAAATGTAAAGCTAGCAGCTAGAGCTGCGAATTTTCAATCGGTAGGTACGTTGGCTAACTATTTAGATAGTATTATAGATATAAATAGGCAAAAACATATTGCTGCTAAACCGACTCCAGGCACGTCAAAAGTTAATCAAGAGGTGATAAAATTGGAAGGAAAGGATGGCAGTAAACGCAGAGTACTATCGTGTTATAATTGCAATGGTCCACATATTGTAAAAAATTGTCCTAAGCCTATAATAACGTGTAAAAATTGTAAAAGGGTTGGCCATTATTCAGAGCAGTGTAGACTGAGCAAGAAAAATGAATGTAATCAGATTGCGCAGTCTGTAATTATGAACAGAAAGAATAATATGTCTTTAGTTACTGCTTATATAAACCAAAGTCCAGTTGAAAATTGTTTAATTGACACAGGTAGTTCTTGCACAATAATTAAAGAGTCTTTAGCAAAGCGTTTAAAGATGCGGCTAACTAGAACAAAGGAGTGTGTAGGACTACGATGTTTTATGGGTAACATGATATCTTGCTACACAATCAGCAAAATCAATATAAATATCGACAAATCAACCGGCGAAGTAAATGCGTTCGTTTTGGCGGATAAATACTTAACTTATGATGTGATTATTGGTTGCGATTATTTAAATCAGCCACATGTTGTCATGCATAAAGCCGGCGACATCTTGCGTTTTAAAAATTTTTCTACCGTGAGCGATATACAGGGTATTACGAAAATAATTGAATATGATAAAATAAATTTTGGTAATATTTCTCAGGGAGAAAAGAACAACGTTTATAGTCTTTTTAAGAGTATAGCGACACGATCGCATTTACTTTAAAGGATTTAGGAAAAACCAATTTAGTAGAAATGAGTATTAAATGTAAAATGGAGGAACCAGTCATTTATGACCCATATCGCATGTCAATTCAAGAAAAAAATATTTTAAATGATTTGTTGCAAGAGTTACTCATTAATGGTATCGTACGTGAATCTAGCTCTCAGTATGCTAGTCCAGTACTACTTGTTAAAAAGAAAACAGCTGATTATCGGATGTGTATAGACTTTAGACGCTTAAACATGATTACTATCAGAGAGAAATTCCCATTACCATTGATTGAAGATCAAATTGACATGCTGGGGGGTCATAAATATTTTATTACGCTTGATCTTGCGTCTGGGTATTATCAAATACCGATGGCTGCTAACTCTATCGATAAAACGGCATTCATTACGCCGACCGGCCACTATGAATTTCTGCGAATGCCGTTCGGCTTGGTGAATGCTCCGGCCATTTTTCAAAAATTAATTAACAATGTTTTTAAAGGTCATTTGAACAAAATTGTTCACGCATATTTAGATGATTTGATAATACCGGGACGTGATTTTAAAGAGGCATTAAACAGATTAAAAATTGTACTAAATGTATTGAGACAAGACAATTTGACGTTGAAGTTAAGCAAATGTAACTTCTTCTATAGTAGCATTAATTATTTGGGTTTGGAGGAATTCTTATACAACTCAAAGATAATGAAAAATATGTGATAGCTTACTTCAGCAAGCAGACCACCCCAGAGCAGCGACGCTACCACTCTTATGAGCTCGAGACTTTAGCAGTAGTGTTAGCGTTACAACGGTTCAGAGTTTATCTGCTTGGAATAAAATTCACGATAGTTACCGACTGTAGCGCATTGAGGACAGCTTTCAGAAAGAGAGGTTTGACAAGGCTAGGATACAAGCTAAAAAGTATCTAGTGGATGATGTCGTCATGGTGTTGAAGACGGATGCACCGTGTACTGGTGCCAGCAGAAAATTGGTCCCGAAATATAAGGGACCTTTTAAAGTGACGAATGTTCTCTATAACGATCGATACGAGGTGGTTGACCTGAGAGAAAACTACAAGAGATATAAGACTGTAGTTGCTGCAGATAAGATGAAACCATGGATCTTACTACGTGGTAGGTATAAAATGTTATATTGCTTAAAGAGGGTCCAAATATTAAAGTTTATCTGCTTTAATATCTGTTGGAACGAGGAGAAAAATTAATGATGTTTTGTTGTCTGTTGAGATAAGTAGGCTCAAACAACAAAAGCAGTTTATGATGTTTTGGTTGTCTGTTGAGATAAGTAGGCTCAAACAACAAAAGCAGTTTATGATATTTTGGTTGTCTGTTGAGATAAGTAGGCTCAAACAACAAAAGCAGTTTATGATGTTTTGGTTGTCTGTTGAGATAAGTAGGCTCAAACAACAAAAGCAGTTTATGATGTTTTGGTTGTCTGTTGAGATAAGTAGGCTCAAACAACAAAAGCAGTTTATGATATTTTGGTTGTCTGTTGAGATAAGTAGGCTCAAACAACAAAAGCAGTTTATGATGTTTTGGTTGTCTGTTGAGATAAGTAGGCTCAAACAACAAAAGCAGTTTATGATATTTTGGTTGTCTGTTGAGATAAGTAGGCTCAAACAACAAAAGCAGTTTATGATATTTTGGTTGTCTGTTGAGATAAGTAGGCTCAAACAATAAAACGGTTTTATGATATTTTGTTGTCTGTTAAGATAGAGTAAGCTCAAACAACAACATAATTTGATGAAGGAAGGCTCATACAACAGAATTACTTAG